TTTGGGAAAGTTGGGGTGGAGTCCCGTGTCGAAACTGAGATCTCCTGTGGCAAAGTTTCAAGGGCATAGATGTAATAAAGCCAACTTGAAGGGGGCGAGTTACTTCCGGTCTGATGGCGGTCGAGGCCGTGCAGCATAAGGCAGATGGCATGCGTGGTGCATTCAAGGCCGTTCGATCCGTCTGTTTTGGTGGCGGCGGTTCGGGGAAAAGCCCGCCCGGGATGGTTGTGATTCCGATGACACGTGGCGTTTATCGTCGCGCGTTCTGGTTAGGCCCCGTAGTTTCAGAGGCTCGTCGGTTGCCGCGTCGCCGACAATTTTCGCAAGGCATGCGGGGTCAATACGGGGCAATGGAATTCCACGGAACCATTGTGAGTTGGTGATATGGGAGGAGGAGACGGAAGGGAGGGAAATTGGTAGTGATAACAACGAAGCTGGGGGATATGAAGTATTGCGTGTTATCCGTAGTTGGGTAATCGGGGCACCTCGGATCGCTGGTTACGGCATAGTGAAACTCCCTGGGGCACAATCGATTCTCGGTTAGGAAGGGGAATTCCGGGTATCTTTGCCTAACACATTCTCTCACCCAAGGGTCGAAGTACTCCGAGTCCCAAGAGCTCGACATCTTATCATTGCAGCGTAATGGAAACCTTTTGCACGCGTCCAATCGGCAAGGGGATTTTCCCGATGTGATATCGGAAACTCCTATCTGTTTAGGTGCGTGAGGGAAGGAAAATTCCCGCTTACCCAATACCGGAGATGTCAAGCTCGTCAATGGTCGCAAATCGGCGTGCGTGGATACGTGTAGGTTGCGCAGATCGAATCGCGCTTACACGTATCCCCGCAAGGCATTCGCCTGTTGTAAAATCGCCACGCGCCGTAAACAACAATTACTACCCAATCATTTAATCACTCCGTGATCTCGCAAGCAATCATTCTCGAGCATGCAAGGTGTTATCACACATCAGACGTCAGCATTTCTACTATGCCTTAATGGCGTATCAAAATGGAAAGCAAAGACGATGACCAGTAAGAAAAAACAACAACTATATCATTCATCCATCCATTCATTTAACAAAACATACTATAAACGAGATCAAGATGGATCACAAAACAAGTGGGGGCTGAAGCCAAGCCAAGATTCCGAAAACAAAAGAAAACGGGCGAGTCGCCCGAAGCCGATATCAAAATTTATATAAAAGAGTAAGGAGGGCGATAAGACAAAGAAAATTGCAAATCCACATCCATCAACCTCAGCTCTCTTTTCCTCTCTCTCTCTATTTCCGATGCGGACAGTCCGTGGTCATGCACCAACCCACGAAGTTGTCACCCCGCTTAGTCCTCCTGCACGCGTCAGGTTCGCCCGTGCGCTACAGTCCGTCGTAGCCCCACGTATCAACCCCACGCATTCGGCACTAGCTCGTCGGGTCGCCCGACTCCCACTTCAACTCACCTCTTACTTCGCTCGTGAGCCGACCCTCACTGATCGCGCTCCCCCGAGCTTCCAACAGCTGGTTAAGAGAGCTATCTAATCGCGTAACCATAATTTATAGCGTGCACGCATGCGCGAAGAACACGGAATTGCAAGGACTTAGAAAGGAGATTAGGAGAGGGAGCGCCTACGTTCTGCATGGCCAGACCGCGGCGTGGGGGACGTAGCCACTCTCACACATCGATACGAGCATGCAGGCCGCGGGGCTAACTAGGCACAGCAAAAGGGAAAGAGAGAGCGGGAAAGACGAAGCTCAAGAGGAAAGATACAGTTACATTCGCGCCCACCCAAAAATTACAGTTACTTGCAAGATTAAGGGCGCCGACTAATCAGAGCTCCGTTGCAGCCGCAAAAAGAAGCGCGCGAGAAAGACAACGCGCGGCATAATAAATCCCAAATTCCTAAATTCCTAAATTCCTAGCTATATGCAAAAAAAAGCACAAATTCCAAAAAGAAAATCCGAAGTTCCGAGAGCCATCAAGGCTCGACAAGATTCGAAAAAGAAATTCAAAGGAACGAAGCAAAATTTCCGCGCAGGACAACAGAACAAGAAAGAAACGACGTCAAGCATTATTATTCGCGCCTTTGTCGACTCGACAGCCACTCAATCGGCCATCTCGGGACTTGCCCATCCCTGAACCCAGCCATCCGAAAAGAAACGATGTGAAAAAGATGAAGAAGCGAGGACACTGATGCAATTTCCCTTTGATCTTGATCTCCCCTAATTAGCCCAACCTTCCCATCTTAGGACCCCTCATTGTCATTGCGCAGAAGATCGCGCGGAACAGATTTTGGTTCGTCACAGGCTCTTGAGGACATAAGGGTTACCATCTCCCTCAGCCGACGCTGACACTCCTTCAACTGATAGATCCAATTGGTCGCCGCTTGTTGTAGATTTCCTGTCGAAGTCATCTCCATCCCCCTGCCATACCGTTCTTCCGACAGAGCGCCATTGGCAAGGACGCCATCTGCACGCCACTACAGGGTTTTCCCGTCCTGCCCGTATCGCCGTCAAATCCGCCCTCGTCAAACCTCCTCCAGGCACGTGGTTTGACCTTAACTTTTTCACAGCGATGGCGTCAACGCCATCAGTCCTCCTCGGGACCACCGAGGCGTCGGGTGACAAGACCTCCGAGCCCGCCGGCCGGTTCGCTCCCCCCACGCTCGCCACCTAATGCTCCCTTCTGCTGCTGGTGCTCAGCTGAAATTACAAAAATTGGCAAAAACTCGTTCACAAAAGTTCTTGCACAATTTGTGGATGGCGCCGTGTGACCAGCCAAGTACCGAATGCCCATTTCTCCAGACGGCCGCGACCTCGTTCCACATGAAAAGGTACAGCAGTGTGACGTGAACTGTGCCCAAAACCTCAAATTGGCCCTTCCGGGGTCGCAGTGTGAGTATGCCATCACACTGGGAACTATAATCCCAAACTCCCCCAAAAGAAGGGTAGAGGGCCGATCACACAGGTTTGCCGAAGTACCATATGTATTATTGGCGTGCCCATTTGTCAGGGGCATGGAAAGCCGTGGGGCCGCACCATATGTATTATTGGCGTGCCCATTTGTCAGGGGCATGGAAAGCCGTGGGGCACGGGAATTTGCGGCGGAGGTGACCGCAAATGCCCTATTTATGTTTTCGCATTTTCTTCAAAAATTGGCAAAAATTGGTTCACAAACGTTCTTGCACAATTTGTGGATGCACAATTTGTGGATGGGCCCGTGTGACTAGCCAAGTACCAGATACCCATTTCTCCAGAGACCTTGTCCCATCTGAAAGAGTACAGCAGTGTGACCTGACCCATGCCCAAAACCTCTTCCCAAATCGGCACATTTCGCGGATTTGGGGTCGCCGTGTGAGTACGCCCTGAATGCGCCAAGAGGACGTTGAGGGGGGATAGAAGCGGACCCGCAATGGGACCGTTGAGGGTTGATAGAATCGGGTCGGCAATCTCCACGTTGCAACGCCAGACCTCGAACCCACTTATCTACCCGCTCGTAACGTCAGCCACGATTCCGAGGGACCACCGCCATACGATAAAAGCGTAGGGCCTCTCTGCACTACTCTCAACATGCACAAACGCCAAAAAAGATGGCAATGTATCTTTCCATGTTCTAGCGGTGGATTCTGTGTCGTTTTGCACATTTGGAGAGTAGCTCCTGTCGAAATTTGGTGCGCGATCGACTTCTCTTCGAAATTTGGTGAGTGGGGAATGTTTGTCGTATACCCTCAGGCTCGTTCGTCTTTTTGAATCTTGCATTCACGAGTGCTGTGCTGACTGTCGAAGGGGCAAACTATCCAAGGCAGGCTTTCGATTTTTTTTTTTTTTTAATTTTTGAAAGGGCGATGGCCTTGAGGTTTTATCATCGGACTAACCAGCCCAGGTAAATTCAATATTGTGTCTAATCTGACATAGGGTGGCCTTGATTGCCTTCAGGGAACCCCCAACGGGGACACTGGCCAGGGGACAGCCGGTGGCAGAGGGACCAAGCATCCTCTGAGTCGCCAGTCGCTGTGCCTCCCCGATTACCCCTACCCCTATGAACATCAGCAGAGACTGCTTTTTAATGCCAATTGGGGGGACCAACGTGCTATCTCTAGGTAGCGGGCGCCAAGCTTGCCCAGGAAGGTACATGAGGCAATGGGTATTGAACCCAAGACCTCCTGAATGCCACTTGCGTGCCTTACCAACTGAGCTAGGCCGCTGGATTATTCTGACAGCAAAACAAAACAAAACAAAAAAGAAAGAAAAAAAGAATTTATTCTGACAGCCGTCGAATGTTTTTGCCTTTCGACTGTGGTGTGGTGAGCCCCTCTGTTGTCCGCGTTTATGCGCTCGTGCCACCCGTAGAATGCTCGTTGTTTCTTTTTTTTTGTTTTTGTTTTTTTTTGGAGGAAATGCAATTTCATTATCAAAGGACAGTAGGGGCCCGGGAATACACCCCAACTAATCAACCCGGTACAGAACATGCTCGCTGTTTCGCATTGCCGCGCGATCGTCGGATGGTTAACAAATAAAAATTAATATCGTGTGATCCGATGGACCACGGATCGGATACTAAACTGATCAGAACAGATACTCCACTTTGTCTTATTCGCCAAAAGGCCGAGAAAGGAATTGGAGGTCTTTTGTTGCGACCGGTAGCGGATGCTTTTTGAATAACGCAACTCGTACCGATAGGCAAATCTTACCTCGACGAGGGGGGATAGGCCGGCGAGGCTGCTCCGGGGCCAGGTCCCACTAGCAGCGTTGAGGAAACTCAACGCCTGAATCTGGACGCGTTATTGGAGATGTGCGGTTGAGAAAACTCAACGCGATTTCTGCACATATCCACAGAGACGTCCAGATTCGGGCGTTGAGGAAACTCAACGCTGCTAGTGGGACCTGGCCCCCGGTTGTGCCTGAAAGGGACAACGCTCAGGTGACTGTATGGAGTCACGTTCAAAACCAATCGAACAAGGGAGAGATTGGATTACAGCGAGTAGGAAGAATCGGCCCTCCCGATACGCGCCAGGGTGGCCTCATTCTACCGATCAATCATTTACCCGCCAAGAAATCAATTTTCATCAGGCCTACTGTAGGCCTGATCACCTCCGCTGAAACGCTAATCAGCCAGCCAGTCAATCACGTGATCTACCTATCGATCGCATCGAAGAGACGATCAATCAACCTATCAGTTCAACAAGCGGTCGCCCATCCATTCAATCCAATTCAATAGGGGCGAGGGAGATTAACTCTTCCCTTTCGCTCCTCGAAATGACGATGGCGGCGCGTCAGCTCCCAGCTATGGTGGCCGGGACATGTACCGTGGCCGAGTGGATGGGGTACAGTGACGGACGGGAGGAAAGAGGTGTTGGGAGGCTTGACACGTGCACGTATACCGCGTCGTTGAGACGAAGACCAGGAAGCAGGTGGCACGGCGGTAAGGGAGCAACGCAAGAGAGCTCGCTGGACCACCACAAGTGCAGGGCTTGGCGTTCTCTGTTGCCCACGTCGTCATCGTCGTTTATGCGGCGGGTGCGACAGTCGGGATCGCGGCGGCGGGATGGAGCATCCTCCTCCTCTTCGGGACAGAGGCCTGACCTCGTCCGTGTCCGCGCTGGTCTTGCGGATATGCTGGTGATGAGGGCAGAACAGTTCATACGTGTCGTTGCTGGGGTCGATTTAAATCGCAATCAACTGGCGGGAGAAGCGTTCGCTGTAGGTGCGGCGACGCTCAGGGAGGTGGAGAGAGTATCGTTGACGTCAGTTGGAAATGCCCTCAACGAGGCTATTCGTGTTAGGGCTCGATCAAGCAGACTTGAGGAGGCTTTCATGGAAATTCCTGATTTGGAAAGCTTTTCCTACCGCGTGGTGAAACGTGGACCAGGGTACGAGATTCGCGAAATGGCGCCTTACGTGGTGGCTGAGACGACCATCAAAGACGAGCCTTTTAGCAGTCAAGGCTCGTCAAATGCATTCAACATGCTTGCAGGGTACATCTTCGGCAAGAATACTCGGCGGGAGGAGATGCAGATGACAACACCTGTGGTAATGGCAGCGAAAACGACAGATGCTGGTGACGGGCGGGAGGAGGAGGGGAGAAACGAGAAGGGAGAGAAGATGAAAATGACTACGCCAGTTATGATCGCACGAACTCCTAGTATTCCTAATGAGGCAAACGGAGGAGAGAAGGGTTTGCAGATGGAAATGACAACTCCTGTTATGAACAAGCAGGAGGGCAGTGGGGGAGAGTGGAAGATGTCGTTTCTTATGCCGTCAAAGTATGGAGAGGAAGGGGAAGGTCTTCCCATCCCAGATAGTCCGGATGTGTCGATCAAGCGGGTCCCAGGGAGAGTGCTAGGAGTGACAGCGTTTCCAGGCTATGTTACGAACGGTCTTGTGCAGACGAAAGAGGAGGAACTGAGGCGGGCGTTGGAGCAGGATCCGGACGTGCGCATTCGCCCCAGTGCCATTGCTGAGGTCGCACAGTATAACGACCCTTTCAAGCCGCCGATGGTGAGGCGAAATGAGGTTGCACTGGAAGTTGAATTGTTGTCCTTGCTCAACGATGATTAGAGAGAGTTAATACAGATTTTTTTTTTTTTTTTTTTTTTTTTTGGGCTAATACAGATTTTCGAAGCCACAGGACTCTGACTTTCGTAATTAGGAGGAGGAGGAGGTTCGACAGTAGCAAAGTCGACGACGGTCGCGTATCATCTGTACATTATTCTTGCTTCCGAAGAAACGAAGAAACCCAGAACAAAATGTCAGCCAGGACCTCGAATCTATATGCCTTCTGAATTAATCTCTTAGTTAGGGCTTTCGAGTCTTTGGCCTGTGCACTTGTGCGTGCATATGCTCTTTTTTTTTTTTTTTTTTTTTTTTTTTT